TTTTTTATTGAGTTAATAGTTACTAAAATTTAATACTTAAAGTTTTGGTTAACTAATAATTTGATTTTAATTATAATCAAAGCCAAACTATAACTACCCCTAAGAACAGGTGCGAAAGCGCACGTGTCAACCATCAAGTTGCAGAGAATGGTGTGTGCAATTTTGACAAAGGGAGTGCCAGCTTATGAGTTATGATTTATGAACTCCTGGGATCTGAATCTTAGTTAGAAAGATGTTTGGCAAGTCCTAATTAAAAAGTATTTACCTTTAAAAATACTCTTTATTTCTTAAAATTTTAAAATTTTATTGTTAAAAAATAATAAATTTAGTTTTTAAGTAAATTTTAAATAAATTTTGAAAAAAAAAACTACATATCTAAACTTTTTCAAAATTTTTTTAATTAAAATTCACTTTAAAAGATAATTTTTTAATTTCTTCTAATAAAAATTTAAATTTATAAGAAATTAATAATATCTTTTAAGCTTTGTAAAATACCTTTTAGATCTCTCTCTTTTCCTTTGTTTTTATTTTTTAATCAAGCGTTCACCTTTTTCAAATCTATGTAAACTCATTCCACCAAAAAATATATTATGTAAACCCAAGTTGCATGCACAATTTCCATTCATGGCTTGAATCAGAAGATATTTATCCAAAAATAATAATAATAATAATAATTAGGAAACAAAGAAAGTCATTGTCATCTTCACAAAATAAAGTCAATGTAAAATTAATGGACATTTGAACATGAAATTGATACTATCTTTAGTAACTTAAGATGTAATAATGTAGTAGGTCATCATGATTCAGGCCCATCAAGTTTGTTGTTTTTCAATTTTTATTTTTATTTTTATTCTAAATTAATTTGTCCCTAGGTTTTAGTCTAATATAAAATGTGTTTAAAAGAAGAATGTCAAGAAAATAAAACAAAAGTTGAGTGTTGTCATGAGGAAAAGGAAATTGCCCTTTAATAATCAAGTTCAGTGTATTGGAGGTTACTAAATTAATTAGTCAATGGGCCCAATGGAGGTATCATAATACAATACTACAAATGAAGATAGATAGTGAGAATTGTCATCACCTTGTTTGTTCTTTAGTGGAGCATTAATCAAAATTAAGAAAATTACAAGGAATTAGCACATTGTATATATAATTTTTCTTGAAAATAGATGTGAGACGTACATAGGAGGAGTTCTACTTGCACTTAAGTCTATCTATATTGAACATTTCCTTAATTTTTAATTACAGACAGAGTTCGAAAACTCTTGGATAATGCAAGTTGTAACTTTTCATATAGGACTTCTCATAGGTCTTAAGTTCGAGACCAACCCATTCCCCCTTCCCCCAACAATGTAACCATGTTCAAAAAAAAAAAAATTACAGTCGGACTTCTCCTTAAATAATTGTAATTTTTAAGTTTTTTATTTTTATTTTTGTTTTAAAAAATTTAAAATTTTAAAAATAAAATGTAGAATTAATTCAAATTCAAAACTACAACTCCTTAGGAGCTAGTATGAATTTTAAGAGAAAGCTTCATCAATTAGGATCATTGGTCATGACAAGAGTTCATATAATTAACTATTAAAACAATTTTATTTTAAAAATATTTCAGAAATATCATATCACTATCTTTTATATATATATATGTATATATTAAATAATAAATTATATAATAAAAAATTAATTTAATCCTATACATTTCTTTTTCACTCATCCCAACATCTAAATTTAAGATCATCCATTTGAAAATTACGGCGACGCACTGGATATCTACGGCCACCTTTCTTGTTAGCTGCATTCATTCAACTCAATGGCTAATCTAAATTCTAAATCGGTTACTCGATTAAAAGAAGGTAAACGTCACCGTTTAATGAAGTGGCTAGTTAAGACGTCACTCAATATCAGGTCTCAGGAGCGCCAGCTTGCGCCACTTGTAGCCCCTTATTCTTGCCACGTCACCATTTATCCCCTCACGCTTTTTTTCTATAATTTTTTTAATATTCTTTTGTATGTTTTTTTACATATATCTAACACAATAAATTTTAAATAAATAAATAAATAAATAATTTAAATTTAAATAATACGGTAAAGTTATAAAAAAAAAAAAAGTAAAAAAATTATACTTAAACTATTTTTTCTTTATTTCATGCCTTGCTGGCACAGACTTCCGAAGCTACAGTCTATGGAGGTCAGCATCACCTCAACCCCAATTTCCACCGAGTTAACTCGGAATCTCTGCAAAACTACGCTTTACTTGCTTCTCGCCCTCGCCACTTTCAAGGCTTCTCGATCTCTCCAACGCTACATTCGTTCCCGAACGATGTCATCCTCGTCTTCTTCTCTGTCCACGACCGACGCCGGCACTCTCCGGCGAGACCGTATTCTCTCTAGCAAGCTCTACTTCGACGTTCCTCTATCCAAGGTAATGTTTACGCTTGTTTTCATTCTTGATTTTAAATCTCCGGACCTACTGACGTCTAAGAATCATTTGATCGAACAGGTTCCGGTTATTTACTCGCCTTCTTATGATATCGCGTTCCTTGGAATTGAGAAGCTGTAAGGCATTTTCAGGATCCTGCCTTGAAAATTTTTTTTTTTGTTTTAAAGATTTTACTTTTTTTTTTTTAGCTCCTGCAAGAATATTGCTATAATTCATACTAATTTTAAGCTTTTTTTGCTACCTTTCCCATTCTAGATACTGATTTAGAGATTTTATTTGGTTGCGATTCGAAGTATGAATGTTGAAATGCTATTCTCAATTTATGTTATCTGAAACATTTGTGAGGAGATGATGCATCTGGTCTTGTGAAATTGCTTTGACCTATGCCTATTTGGACTCTGTTGGAACATCGAACTAGGTTTTTTTCATTATTAAGATTCTATATTCTAACTTTTATACTTAATTATTTCCCGCATTTTGAGAATATGATATGAATTATTGCCAGTGGTAGCTCTTATTTATTCTATTGATAACTTCTAGAATTCTGAGATTGTTCTCATTAACTTATGGCCTTGTGGGGAGAGTTTGAGTTAGTTATATTAGTGAATACCTTGATTAATTTCATGTAGGCACCCGTTTGATTCTAAAAAGTGGGGCCGTGTATGCCAGTTTCTCACCACAGAAGGTGATCTGGACAAGAACTCCATTGTTGAGCCCCAGGAAGCTTCAAAAGATGATCTTCTTGTGGTAGCTTCCCTCTCTGCCCCTTGTCATTTCCATTTATTAGGCATAATCTTGCATATTTATAGGAGCAAATCCAGTAGAATGAATTCCAGTGTCAACCTTGATTATTTTGCATATTTTTTCTAGCTTCTCTATACCTTGATTATGATTTCCTCCTCTCTTTTTTCCCTTTTTTTTGGGGGGGATCTTTTAAATAGGTGCATTCAGAATCATACTTGAATAGCCTAAAGTGCAGTGCAACTGTTGCCATGATAACTGAGGTAATTGATTTTGTTTTAGTTCCATTTGCAACTTCTTTTTGCTGCACATCTGTATATGGTTGGGGGGATCCATGAGTGCCTGATTATCACTTATTACTGGTTGATTCTGTAAATTTTTTTATATTTTGGGCTAAGGAGATTACAGTCATTTTTATTGTTGTTCTTGACTGAAGCAAGGTTTTATGCTGTACAGGTTCCTCCTGTTGCATTATTTCCAAATTGTCTTGTTCAGCTGAAAGTTCTTTATCCATTCCGCAAGCAGGTGAAGTCATCATTTAGCTTGGGCATAGTTATTTCTTTATTTATCATCATTTCGTTGAATTTTTCTTTTGAAATGGGATCAATCTGATCATATGGTATTGCAGGTGGGTGGAACTATTTTGGCAGCTAAGCTTGCAAAAGAGCGAGGGTGGGCTATCAATGTTGGAGGAGGGTTTCATCACTGTTCTGCTGAGAAAGGAGGTGGATTTTGTGCTTATGCAGATATTTCTCTTTGCATTCAGTTCGCCTTTGTCCGCTTAAACATTTTGAGGTATTAAAGTTGAATCTCCAGAGGAATTAAAGCAGTCAATGGAATTTTGAGTTTGCATCTTTATTTCAACTTTTAGTTGATTGTCATCTTTATGATGGGACTATTATTTTTGTCATTATTTGCAAAAATTTTACAGGGTGATGATAATTGATCTTGATGCACATCAAGGGAATGGCCATGAAACAGATTTTTCTGATGACAGTATGTGTTTTTATTTGTCCTCATAGTGGTTTTATTAAGTGTTCTTTTCAACTTTCAATGATGGACTTAATATTGACAGGACGAGTTTATATTCTGGATATGTACAACCCTGGAATATACCCACGTGTAAGTCTCCACTTCCAAATTTGTTTTGGAGATTTCTAACTCATCTTTGTGGACACTGCTTTTATATATCTATTGCTGTTATCCTTTAAAATAATTTGTGATTCCACCTTATTAAGTATCATTACAGGATATGTTGTATCCTATTGCCAATGTCTATTGTTCTTTAACTTTTAGCTCAGCCTTCTATTTAGCAATCTTTTCTAAATTCTTTGTTAGGATTATGCGGCACGGAGGTATATTAACCAGAATGTTGAAGTAATGGTAATTCTTCAGCATTACTTATTCATGAAGTTTCTTTGTTGTGATTTTGTCTTTTAGATACTGAATTTTATACTTTTTGTATGTTTGCTCAGAGTGGCACTACCACAAATGAGTACTTGAGGAAATTAGATGAAGCACTTAAGGTGTGTGTAAATTTTTCAACTGATTTAAACATGCTTCACTTTCTTTTTCTTCCTAATTCTGATATAATGGTCAGAGCAATTATTGACTTTGAATATCAGGTTGCTGAGTGTAAGTTTGACCCAGAGTTGGTAGTTTACAATGCTGGTACTGATATCCTTGACGGAGATCCACTGGGCAGGTTAAAGGTATCTGTTGTTGAATATCTTCCATTTCCATAATCTTCTTTCCTATTTCATTTGCCTGATCTTCTACCTCTGCAAGAAGTTAAATTAGACAAACCTTCATGGTAATGCCAACATTGCTTGTGAAAATTCAGTGAAAGAATTCTTCTTCTGATGATAGGTTTAGGAAGAATATTAACATATATGGGGTAACTAAGAGAAAAAAATCCATAGATGTCAGACCCCACCTTGTAGTTTTTTTTTTTTTTTATAATAATTAACCTATAAATTTTGTGAAACCTCAAATGCCTCTATATGGGTTTTGTAATATAAATTAATCCAGTGAAGCTTCAGTAGTTGATAATGCATCTCTTGATGTTTAGAAGCTGCTATCCATTTCCTTTTTAGAGCAATCTGAAGGAAGCTTTCAATTGTAGTACATCATCAATTTCAGCTCAAAATTTTTGAAGGTAGAATTCATCATAAATTGAATTGAACAGAGTAGATGGAATGGTTAAAGATAGTACCAACTATTCTCTGCTGGCTAACAAACAGATTTAGTGGTGTTTTTTTTTTTTCTTAATTTTTGGATAACAATCTCTCGTTTTATATTTTCTTGCTAATGGTGCATTTTCCATCAGTAAAAGAATGAAATCTGACTTGGGATAATGCACACACATGCAGATAAGTCCTGAGGGGGTAGCCTGTAGGGATGAGAAGGTCTTCAGGTTTGCTCGTGAGAGGAATATCCCTGTGATAATGCTCACATCAGGTCTAGTTTTTTACATTATAACCACAATTTTAGACATCTGCGCATGGTACATGAATGGTGTTTATTTCTGTGTCTGTTACATATCTTTAATTTTGATGTTGGACATTTGTTTTGTTATAAACCTTCAGAGACCAAACATTGTCTTTGGATCAATTTTTTCACTCATGCACGATTGGTATCTTTGTGTATCCTGTAAAATCCCTGTCTAAATTTTTTATGTTTCAGGTGGTTACATGAAGTCCAGTGCAAGAGTTATTGCAGATTCTATTGCTAACCTTTCAAAGAAAAACTTGATAGATTTGGGGAAACACCCAGGATAAACATCAGCCACGTATATCAACTGTTCTACCTGGTTCCTTTATGGCGTCAACTAATTGCAATCAAGAGGTACATGGCTTTCTTAATTGCTACTGCAAACCTCGAACCTTCTGTATATCCAAAGGTAGTTGACAGAAGTTGAGACTAGAGAGTGTAAAGTGAATGACAAGGCTGTCATTGTGTATACATATTAATACGGGTTAGGAATACCCTCTCACTTGTCAAATCCTATCTGCACATCTCAAAATATGAATGGGAGACATTTAGTATAGAAATTTACATTTCCTAAGTTCTTTAGGATATGTGGTATTTTTAAGCCAAATGGGTTCCTCACTCTTCTTGCTGTTGGTAATTCCTTGAGGAATTGAGCAAAACATGAGCATAAATAAATAGCAATTTTCTTTTGGGTCCCATTAATCTTGGATTTCAAGTGAAGGTATATATGGTTGTTCTTTGCATGCATATTGGAATTCACATGTTCGTATAAATTATTTAATAGCTTACCGTAAGTCTATGACCACACAACCAAATAGATGAATTTCATTAAGAATTACTATTATTGAGCTGGCCCCAAGGCAGTGAGGTCTGACGAGATCAGAGTTCACACTGCATGGTGCGTACAATACTTGTGAAGAAAAAGTAGACCGAAGTTCTTCCCCCCTCCCCCCTTCGTATTAAAAAGTTTTGCCCCTTTCAGCGAAGACACTTATGTTTTTTTATCTGAAGTGCATTACTGCAGTGTGAATATTGAAATTATAAATTACTATTAAAAAAAAAGAAAAATTAAAATATTTTAATATTAAAAATATTATGATGTGTGCACCTTGCAGCATTAACTACGTTGATTCAGATGCATTGAATTTGGTTCAGATGCATTGAACTTTATTCAAATGCATTGAATTTTTGATATTTTATTATAAAAAAATTCATATTTAGTGGTTAAATTATTGATCATTAAATCTTTATTTTTCGTTGTAAATTATTATTAGTAATAAAATTTAAATCGTCAGTAAAACCTTTGTCATTAAAGTTTTTAGTGACAAATTAGGCACTTGTTACAAAAAGTAATTTTATAATAATAGAAAAAATTGACATTGTTAACAAGTTATTTATAATAATTTTATTCGTCACAAAAAAATATTTTTATGATGCAAAATTTAGTCATTAATTATTAAAATTGATGTTAAATAAAAAAGATATTTATATAATTACAACACAAATATTTTAACAAAAATTGTCACAAAAAAATAAAATATAAATTTATCACAAAATTTTAATAAAAACTATTATTATTTCAATACTAATCAATGTTGATTAAAATTAATCAAGTTTGATTAAAATTAATCAGACCCAAACTAATCTCAAGTTTTATTGAGTTTCATATGTTTTATAGTG